TGGGGATCTCTACTGTTAGAATTAATAATAGAGACGATGATAGTTTGGTTAGGTGAACATGATGAGGTGGTAGTTACTGTTAATTATAATACTATGGTGAGTTCAATGATTTGTGAAGGTGATGGGCTGGGGTTAATCCATGAAGATCCTATTGGTGCAGCTGCTTTATATAATTATGGGGTTTGAGTTGTGTTGGTTACTTGTTGATCATTGTAAGTATTCACATTACAATTGAACTTACTCTGGGTGGGGATTAAACAATTAATAGTAGGGTGAGGGTGGATGGAAAGAAGAAAAAATATTAAGCCTTTTTGAGTTGATGTAGTGGTGGAAATTGAAATTTTGGTTTGTGAGATTATTTTTAGTATAGAATTTTCTAATCAGAGTAGGTCTAGTAAAAGTGAAGCTAGATTTTGACTTGTGCCTAGGCCTGAATGGGGGTTTGAGCCATGAATTGTGGTTGAATAAAAGCCTAGTATATTAGAGAAGTTAAATATTTTGACTGGGATACTTAGTTTAAGGTTATTAGTCATGAGGTTAAGTTCTATTGCTAGAAGTATTCCTAAGGTAGTTACGCTTAGGGCTGTGAGTTTGAGGTTATTTGAGGAGGTGAAGTGGGAGAGATACAATTAGAAATGAGGAATCCAATGAAAATACTACTGACTGCTAGGTGATTAATTGGGTTTATTAGGAATGGGTCATTTTCATTAATGATAATAAGGGTTATAAAGTGGGGCTGTCCTAGAGCAAAGAAGATAATGTGGATGCTATATATAGCTGTTAGGGAAGTGGCTATGAGAGTAATAAAAGGGGCTGAGGCATTGGTATATGACATATATGACATATCCAGAGTTCAGTTCTCTTCACCGCTCTGCATCCTCTACTCCTACAGGCCAAGCCTCTGTGGCCCTGTGTCCTGCAGGTATTCCCAGATTTATGGTTAAAAGACGGGGACCCCTTGGAAGCCGAGAAATGGTGAGTGCTGAGTCTGTCATGGTGAGAGAGGGGTGGGAGCTGGTTGGAACTGGCTGAAAGTGGCTGTAACAGGACCCAGACTTCCTCGCAGTCAGCTCCGAAGTCTGAGGACCCAAATCCTCACTGGCCCAGCTCGGCTCTTAGTCCCCTGGAGCTGTAAGGTTGTGCCTGGGCCAGCAGCTGGGACCCTGGGATTTCTGTCTTTTTCCTCTGCTGTGGCTTTGCCCTGGACTGGTGCCCTCTCTGGGTAGCTCTGTGTTCCCAGCGCCTCATCTCACCCAGGTTATGCAGGGATGGGAAAGTCATGGGGGGAATCCTGACTCAAGGTGCAGGATTCGTGAGTGGAAAAAGTTGTGGTACCTGGGGTCCCTAGTTCCTTATTTTTGCTTTTAGAAATGTATCAGAGTCACTTTAAAAATATTAGGGAATTTGATTAACGTGTGATTAAAGAATCATAGAGTGCCCAGCTATGGTTTATGGGTTGTGGTCCATGGGAGAGATTTGAAGAAAAGTCTGTTGTAAGTTGCATAATGAAGCAAACCAAATTCAATAATTGAATTGGTACAGTTACGTAGTTTCCTTATTTGTAAGATTCAGGTAAAAATTTATTAACTATGTCATCAGATTAATTGGCATTTTGTGGTTGACCAAGCTTAATATAAATTTATTTCTTCAACATACATAGTAATATCCAAGAAATACTTTTTTTTTTTTTTTTTTTTTTTTTGAGATGTAGACTTGCTCTGTTCCCCAGGCTGGAGTGGAACAGCATGCTCTTGGTTCACTGCAACCTTGGTCTCTTGGGTTCCAGTTGTTCTCCCAACTCAGGCTCTGGAGTAGCTCGGATTACAGGCACCTGCCACCACACTCAAATATTTTTTGCATTTTAGTAGAGACGGTGTTTTACCATGTTGACCAGGCTCATCTCGAACTCCTGACCTCATGTGATCCACCTGCCCCAGCCTCCCAAAGTGTTGGGATTACAGGCGTGAGCCACCACTCCTTGGCCCTGTTAAATTGATTTCTGAATTTTATGCTAAACTTTATGAGATAGGACTGGGCACATTCTAGAAGAAGTTTGTTCATATTACTAATTGTTTACTGATATCCTGTAATGGAAATAAGTAAATGATAAGTGTATTGTCTGAAAGAGATACTTTTGCTTTTCTCATTGAGCTATTTAAGCACCTTAAAATTTTTTCCCCTTGTATAAACACTGCATTTCAGTAATCTTTCTGGATTAATCTAACACTTACTTTCAAAAACTCAGTGACCATCTCTGACTTCGAAATTAAAGCTTAGCCCTGTGACTCCAAGCTAAGGTTAATACTGAGCCTGCAGTAGGAGGTTATTGAAGATCTTGTCAGTTCTTTCTAGGGAGCCTCCCCTACAGATGTCCCAGCCTGCTCAGCCCATCCATGGAAGAAACCTTTATACTGAGAGAAGCTACAGAGCCCAGGACAGCTGGGGACCCACAGGCAGATGCAGTTAGGGTTAGGAAGCGTGGGAATTATTGCTGTTTGGGGGGCAGTTTCTAGACTTTGTGAAATAAAATGAAGTCAGATTTAGGTAAGACGTTCTGAATCCCAACAACAGAAAAAAAGTATGAGGTATAAGATTTTTCAAGGAGATCATCATTTAGGCAGGCAAGGACTATGTTTCACAGAGTATAGCAAACAAGTTTAGAAAGAAGGTGGAATAAGAATGACACGATAGAAGGGGCAAAATTAGATTCTAGATCAGAAAATGTTTTACCTTGAAGTCAGCAGTTTCTTTTTTTTTTTTTCCCTTGAGATGGAGTTTCACTCTTGTTACCCAGGGTGGAGTGCAATGGTGCGGTCTCGGCTCACTGCAACCTCTGCTTCCTGGGTTCAGGCGATTCTCCTGCCTCAGCCTCCTGAGTAGCTGGGATTACAGGCACACGCCACCATGCCCAGCTAATTTTTTGTATTTTTAGTAGAAACGGGGTTTCACCATGTTGACCAGGATGGTCTCGATATCTTGACCTCGTGATCCACCCAACTCGACCTCCCAAAGTGCTGGGATTATAGGCATGAGCCATCACACCCGGCCCAGCAGATTCTTAAAAAGAGACAGAAAATGGGGTTGTATGTTGACTCAGACTGAGGATAGTTTAAAGGCAGGAGCCCAGGGAGAAGATGAAAATTTAAGCGAACTTGATTAAAAAGTATTTAGCTGATTCTTTTATAAGAAAAAGGTGAAAATTTGCAGAGTCTATATCTATGTGATAAGAAAATATAACACCATCTAAGTCATCATGGGAACTCTTTCTACTATGCTGTTGCTGAAGAACACAAAGGATGGATTGTTTTATTTTAGAGACAGAGTCGTGCTCTGTTGCCCAAGCTGGAGTTCAGGGGTGCAATCTCAGCTCACAGCAACCTCTACCTCCTGGGCTTCAAGCAATTCTCCTGCCCCAGCCTCCCAAGTAGCTGAGATCATGGGCACCCACCCACCTCTGTACCTGCCTAATTTTTTGTATTTTTAGTAGAGACAGGATTTTGCCATGTTGGCCAGTTTAGTCTCAAACTTCTGACCTCAGGTGATCCACCCTCCTTGGCCTCCCAAAGTGCTTGGATTACAGACAAGATCCACTGTGCCTGGCTGGAGAATTTTATTAATCACAGCTATTTACAAGGATTATTTATGCCCCATCTTTCCCAAACATTTTTTTTTTTTTGGTCTTACACATTTTTTTCTATTTGGCTGTTTCTGGGTTGCATGTTTTATAGTAAACTGGTTAACCTAAGTACAGAATTTTGCTGAATTCTATGAGTATCTCTATCAAATTATTGAACTTGAGGGTAATTATGGGAGTCCCCAATTTACAGACAGTAGCTCAGAAGCATAGATGGGTCTTGTGACAAGCATGTGCAGTGAGTGTAATATGGTGAGAATGAACTCTGAATATGCTCTGTGCTGACTCTGGGTGTTATCAGGACAAAAATCTCAGACAAGCTGGTTTTAAAAAAATTGCTTGGAGAGCCGGGCGTGGTGGCTCAAGCCTGTAATCCCAGCACTTTGGGAGGCTGAGGCGGGTGGATCACGAGGTCAAGAGATCGAGACCATCCTGGTCAACATGGTGAAACCCCGTCTCTACTAAAGATACAAAAAATTAGCTGGGCATGGTGGCGCGTGCCTGTAATCCCAGCTACTCAGGAGGCTGAGGCAGGAGAATTGCTTGAACCCAGGAGGCGGAGGTTGCAGTGAGCCGAGATCGCGCCATTGCACTCCACCCTGGGTAACAAGAGCGAAACTCCGTCTCAAAAAAAAAAAAAAAAAAAATTGCTTCGTGCCAGTCCTGGCCAACATGGTGAAACCCTGTCTCTACTAAAAATAAAAAATGAGCTGAATGTGGTGGTGTGAGCCTGTAATCCCAGCTACTCGGGAGGCTGAGGCAGGAGAATCACTTTAACCTGAGAGGTAGAGGTTGCAGTGAACTGAGATTGAGCCACTGCAGTGCAGCTTGGGTGACATAGTGAGCCTCTGTCGCAAAAGAAAGAAAAAGAAACAGAAAAAAAAAATTGCTTGGTGTTTAACAAACTCCACAGATTGAGTGTCAGAAAAAAAAAATGTTACAGAGCCTGGCCTGGAGGGGCCTCTGGGTGTCTGGTAAGGGGAGGCTTAGTTCTCCTGCACACAGGCTGTCACACTGCATATTGTTTTGTGACTCTAGGTCTCCTCTCGGGGAAAGGGGACTAAATGCTTAAGGAAAAGGAATTGTGAAAACAGACCTTCTTTCTCAGCAGGCAACACGTGATTCTCATGCATTCACAAGCACACCCACTAGACACTGATGTGTCCACACCCCTCCCAGGACTAGGCACCACCCTCAAGAGTTCCACCGCAGCACATTTGCTTTTAGTGTTTCTTGCCAAAATTCCACCAAAGTGCCTACAGTTCCCTGGCATATTCCGAGTCCCAACACTGAATCTGCAGAAGCAACCTGTTTCCTCCACCAATGTAGGGTTCTGTACCACATGATCATAGTCTAATCTGCCTGCATGGACACAGGAATAAATCAGAGTATAGCCCCACAGGGACCACTATCTGCAGCGCAAACCAGTCCTACCACTTACCTTGAACTTTCCCACCCGTAAGTTTTTGTCTGTTTTGTTTTGTTTTGTTTTATTGAGACCAAGTTTTGCTCCGGCGCAATCTGGCTCACTGCAGCCGCCAACTCACAAGTTCAAGTTATCCTTCTGCCTCAGTCTCCTGAGTCACTGAAATTAGAAGTGAGTGCCACCATGTTGGCCAGGCTGGTCTCCAACTCCTGACCTCAAGTGATCTGCCCACCTCAGTCTCCCAAAGTGCTGGGATTACAGGCATGAGCCACAATGCTCAGCCGAATTTTTTTTTTTTTTTTTACCTTTTATTTTAGGTTCAGAAATACACATGCAGGTTTGTTACATAGCTTTTTTGTGTACAGATTATTTTATCACTCAGGTACCCAACAGATTTTTTTTCTGATTTTCTTCGTCTGACCATCCACCCTCAACTGGGCCTCAGTGTCTGTTGTTCTCTTATTGGTGTCCATGTGTTCTCATTGTTTTGCTTCCACTTATAAGTGACAACATACAGTATTTGATTTTCTGTTCCTGCACTAGTATTCTAAAAATAATAGTCTCCATCTCCATCCATGTTACTGCAAATGTCATGTTATTCTTTCTTGTAGCTGCATCATACTTCATGGTGTATACATACCACATTTTCTTCATCCAGTCTACCATTGAAGACATACAGGTTTATTTCTTGTTTCTGCTATTAGAGTAGTGCTGTAAAACATGCGTACATGTGTCTTTATGGTAGAATAACTTATATTCATTGGGTCTATTCCCAGTTGTGGGATTGCTAAGTCAAATGGTAATTCTGCTTTCAGGTTTTTGAAAAGTTGCCAGACTGCTTTTCTCAATGGTTAAGCAAATTTATACTCTCACCAGCAGCATATAAGCATTCCATTTCTCCACAACCTCGCAGGTATCTGTTTTTTTCAGTTTTTAGTCTGATCGTGTTTATTTAAATTATTTCTTTTTTCTTCATTAGTCTACTGTACTATCTATCTTACAAATTTTTTCATAGAATCAAGTTTTGGTTTTGTGGGACTTTTTTTTGACATAGAGTTTCACTCTTTTGCCCAGGCTGGAGTGGAGCAGCACAATCTCAGCTCACTGCAACCCCCACATTTTGATTTTAAGTGATTCTCCTGCCTCAGCCTCCCGAGTAGCTGTAATTACAGGTGCTTAACACCACACCTTGCTAACTTTCGTATTTTTAGTAGAAATGGGATTTCAACATGTTGGCAAGGCTGTTCTCAAACTCCTGACGTTGTGATCCACCCACCTCGGCCTCCCAAAGTGCTAGGATTACAGGCATGAGCCACTCACTGTGTCTGGCCCATTTTTATAGATATTTATGTTTCAGCCTTGTTCATTTCAGCTCTGATTTTGGTTATTTCTTGTGTTTTGTTAGCTTTGAAGTTGGTTTGCTGTTTCAGAAGTCTTTTATTGATAACATTAAGTTTTAAATTGAGATCTTTCTTTTTGATGTGGATGTTTAGTGTTACACATTTCATTCTTACAAGTGCCTTAGCTGTGACCCAGAGATGCTGGTATGTTGTATTTCGGCTCTAATTAGTTTCTTTTTTTTCTTTTCTTTTTTTTTTGAGATGGAGTTTTGCTCTTGTTACCCAGGCTGGAGTGCAATGGGGCGATCTTGGCTCACTGCGACCTCTGCCTTCCGGGTTCAGGCAATTCTCCTGCCTCAGCCTCCTGAGTAGCTGGGATTACAGGCACAGGCCACCATGCCCAGCTAAATTTTTGTATTTTTAGTAGAGACGGGGTTTCACCATGTTGATCAGGATGGTCTCGATCTCTTGACCTCGTTATCCACCCACCTCAGCCTCCCAAAGTGCAGGGATTGAGCACCGCTCCCAGTCCTTGGAGGGAGTCTTAAATTTTTTTTTTTTATTTCTGCCTTAATTTCATTATTTACAAAATAGCCATTCAGAAACTGATTATTCAATTTTTATGCAATTTTATCATTTTGGGTGTGTTTCATATTGAACTATTCTACACATTTCCTTTTTAAAATTAATAGAGAAAAGAAGAAATGAAAATGCTGTGCTCTTAATCTAAATGCTAAAAGTAATTCAACACTTAGTACATATTTCCAGGGTGCTATGAAAATTAAATGACATTATGTGTTATTCCCAGCGCAGTGTTCTGTGACATACTCCTGAGCACATAGTACCTGCTCAACACTTTGTTAGTACATGTGTACATGCTCAACACTTTGTTAGTACATGTGTACATTTTTCCCAAGTGCGGACTTACTCAGACATTGCTGCCTTCTGTTGTCTCTATAAACTTTAAAAAGCCAACAAAAAATGTATTTCAGGATGGAGATTGGTTGTTGTCTTTACTTGTAGCAGAAGTATTTGTATTGTGACAGTTGTGGTGGGTGTAAGGGACTCTTTTTATTTTTGGAATGGAGTCTCCCTCTGTCGTCCAGACTGGAGTGCAGTGGCACCGTCTCAGCACACTTCAGGCTCCACCTCCTGGGTTCAGGCAATTCACCTGCCTCAGCCTCCTGAGTAGCTGGGATTACAGTTGTGAGCCACCGCACCTGGCCAGGGACTCTGCTCTGCCTGCTTTTTCTAACTAATGCTAATAATGTGTCTGGGAAAGCACAATCGCCTATTATCCTGGGACTTTTTCCCAAGTGCAGACTTACTCAGACATTGCTGCCTTCTGTTGTCTCTGAAACTTAAAAAAGCCAACAAAAAATAGATTTCAGGATGGAGATCGATTGTCTTTATTTGTATCGGAAGTATTTGTATTGTGGCAGTTTTCAACAAGACGGGACTTGTTGAAAAAGCCCATTCCTAGACCTTTTCAGATGCTGCAGAATTACATTGCATAAAGCAGGGCCAAAATTACCAAGTGATTATAAACTTGATGCAATTAAGATACATTCAGGAGAGTTTAGTTCAACCTTTGCATCAAAGGAAGGCTGCACTGCCTGTCCTGTTTCAGTTTGGAAGGAAGAGGTCAGTGTAGTTTATGCTCCCATTACTGTAAAAAAAAAAAATGCTGGTGTCTAATAGGAGAGGACAGGAAAAAATAAACAGGAGTTCAAGACCAGCTTGGCCAACATGGAGAAACCCCATCTTTACTAAAAATACAAGAATTAGCTAGGTATGGTGGCTCACACCTGTACTCCAAGCTGCTTGGGAGGGTGAAGCAGAATAATTGCTTCAAGCTGGGAGATGGAGGTTGCAGTGAGCCAAGATCATGCCACTGCACTCCAGCCTGGGTGACAGAATGAGACTCGGTCTCAAAACAAAACAAAACAAAACAAAAGACATGTGCATGTTGATGTACTTAATTTTATAATTTATCATCTAGAAAAGTATTTTATCTACAGTGGTATTGTGGCTCTTATGCTATCCTCTTTTCTCAGAGTTAGAGAATACTACATTGTTAAAAAATTATCTTACTGAATAATTTTAGTCATTCTTGTAAGTTAGAACCACTTCTTTTTACTCTTTTTTAACTTGAGTCAAATAAAAATCTCTGCCTATGGCCGCTTGGTAAGTGTTTGTGCCTTCCTGAGTGTTTTTTATTTCAGGACCTGTTGGCATTCAGAGACTGTAGCCATCGAATTCTCTTTGGAGGAGTGGCAATGTCTAGATCGTGCTCAGCAGAATTTATATAGAGATGTGATGTTAGAGAACTACAGAAACCTGGTCTCCCTGGGTGAGGAGAGCTTCCATACACAGTTCCTAATGTATTTCCTTTCTTTTCTAAGATGTTTTTTGGTAATTTATGTTTGCATGAGTGAATTTTAGATCTCCTATTTTAAGTAACTCTTGGAGATTCATTGGTGTAGAAAAAATTCTTCAAGATGTTTTATCTTGACCTGAACTTTTCACTTTCCTGAGCTTATGCATCCTTTGTTTTAGAATAGTGTCAACTCCAAAACTATTGTGGCATAAAATGTCATTGCCCACACCTTAGAATTCAATTGCCACCATCAATTTTTGATTCAGTAGTACTGAATAGTGAAATTAAGGACATACATTCTAAATATTTAGAAAGTTCTGTTACTAAGAATAATCTAGGTTGGTAATTAAAGAATTTGCTAATATTTATGTTACCTTTTTTTCTTAATAAAACAGGTATTGCTGTCTCTAAGCCAGACTTAATCACCTACCTGGAGCAAAACAAAGAGCCCTGGAATATAAAGAGAAATGAGATGGTAGCTAAACACCCAGGTAAGTGAGAGTAGAAAAAGCAGGATGACACAAATGAGAGGCACAAAAGTCAAGGAGGAAGACAGTCCTTCAAATGTGGTCTGGGGATCTGTGCTTCAATGGAAAGAGTTTCTGAGAAGCCCGAGTAATTATTTTCCTTTGCGCTCATAAACCTGTCTCATGGTTTTAAATTCTCTAAGGATTCTACTTTTGCTTCAGGAATCTTCCTTCAAGTTCAGAGTGTGAGCCAAAGTTTTCTTTATGGTTTATAACAGGCATTCCCAAACTATGGCCCTCTGGCCACATGCGGCCCCCTGAGGCCATTTATCCAGCCCCGCGCCGCACTTCAGGAAGGGGCACCTCTTCGTTGGTGGTCAGTGAGAGCACAGTATGTGGCGGCCCTCCAGTGGTCTGAGGGACAGTGAACTGGCCCCCTGTTTAAAAAGTTTGGGGACACCTGGTTTATAAAGTAATGCACAAACTGCTTTGCCATAGCTTTTGGGGATACACAAATACCTGCATATTTTTGAAAAACTATGTTACACCATTCTTAAAATTCTTTTTTTGCATCCTGTGTAAAATGTGTGACAATGGTAGTTTCTGCTTCATCGGTGGTTGTCCATTTTTCTGCATATGCCATTCTTTGTTTATTACTATAGCCTTGAAATATATTTTAAACTTGTTTACAAAATTTTTTTATTTTTAAATTTTTATCCATGTATTTATTTATTTATTTATGTAGAGGTTGTTTTATGAGACTTGCTATGAAGGGATATGTAAACAGGATACCTCTCATGTCTTCATTTTACTGTGTTGCGTATTTTAGATATAGATTCATAAATTCAATTGCTGTATTATGTAATTTCATTTCTAACTATTTGAAGAATATTCATGATATTTCTTATGATGGCTGCATTTTTTTCTCATCAACAACTTACATATGTTTCAGTTTCTTTACCTAATCAACATAGTTGGTGTTTTTAAAAGAAATTATATTGGCCATTCTAATCTATATAAGGTAATTGTGTTTTGTATTTTTATTTTGTTTTTCATTTTTCTATAATTATTAATTTTGTGCAACTTTTCAAATGCTTCTTCTGGTTTCTATATGTTTTTAATTAAAATTTAATTTAATCATTTGGTCTATTTTTTTCTTTCCTTTTCTTTTTTTTTTTTTTTGAGATGCAGTTTTGCTCTTCTTGCCCAGGCTGAAGTGCAATGGTGCAGTCTCTGCTCATGGCAACCTCTGCCTCCTGGATTCAAACTATTCTTCTGCCTCAGCCTCCTGAGTAGCTGGGATTACAGGGATATGCCACCATGCCCAGTTAATTTTGTATTTTTAGTAGAGATGGGGTTTGGCCATGTTGGCCAGACTGATCTCTAACTCCTGACCTCAGGTGATCTGAAGCCATCTCAGTTTCCCAAAGTTCTAGGATTACAGATGTGAGCCATCATGCGTGGCTCATTGGTCCATTTCTAAATGAACTAATTCAGTCTACTGTTTCAACAGTATATTTTAAACTGGTTTTAAAAAGGGACTTCAGTGGCATAGAAAAATTTGTCATCATTATATTTCTTTTTCTTTTCTTTTCTTTTTTTTTTTTTGAGACAGACTTTCACTCTTGTCACCCAGGCTGGAGTGCAATGGCGCGATCTCGGCTCACTGCAACATCCGCCTCCTGGGTTCAGGCAATTCTCCTGCCTCAGCCTCCCGAGTAGCTGGGACTACAGGTATGCGCCACCATACCCAGCTAATTTTGTATTTTTAGTAGAGACGGGGTTTCACCTTGTTGACCAGGATGGTCTCGATCTCTTGACCTCATGATCCACCCGCCTTGGCCTCCCAAAGTGCTGGACATTACAGGCGTGAGTCACCGCGCCCGGCCTGTCATCATTATATTTAAATGTATTTGTTTGTTTAGGTTCTTAATTTTTTTACATTTATGTGGGTTTTTTATACCTTCACAATTTGTTTTTATTGTCCAAGCCTTTTGTTATTTTTATTTTCCAATTTATTTAGGTGTCTGGTTTTTTATTTTTTTTCATTGAGCATAATATGTATTATCTTAAAAATTTAAAGGTAATATGTACATCATTATTTTTATTGCAATTTTTTATTTTATTTTTTTTTTGTTTGGTAGATGTAGAGTTGATTTTTATTTTATCGCATTTTAGGTTGTGGGGTACATGTGAAGACCATGCAAGATTGTTGCATAGGTACACACATGGCAGTGTGATTTGCTGCCTTCTTCCCCTCAGCTATATCTGTCATTTATCCCCATGCTATCTCTCCTCACCTCCCCACCCCCCATCCCTCCCCCAGTTCCCCCCAACGTACCCCAGTGTGTAGTGCTCCCCTCCTCGTGTCCATGTGTTCTCGGTTGTTCAACACCTGCCATGAGTGAGAACATGCAGTGTTTGATTTTCTGTTCTTGTGTCAGTTTGCTGAGAATGATGGTTTCCAGGTTCATCCATGTCCCTACAAAGGACAAGAACTCATCGTTTTTGATGGCTGTGTAATATTCCATGGTGTATATGTGCCATGTTTTCCCTGTCCAGTCTATCATCGATGGGTATTTGGGTTGGTTTCCAAGTCTTTGCTATTGTAAACAGTGCTGCAATGAACATTCGTGTGCATGTGTCCTTATAGTAGAATGATTTATAATCCTTTGGATATATACCCAGTAATGGATTGCTGGGTCAAATGGGATTTCTATTTTTAGGTCCTTGAGGAATCGGCCACACTGTCTTCCACAATGGTTGAACAAATTTACACACCACCAACAGTGTAAAAGTGTTCCTATTTCTCCACATCCTCTCCAGCATTTGTTGTCTTCAGATTTTAAATGATCACCATTCTACTGGTGTGAGATGGTATCTCAATATAGTATTGATGTACATTTCTCTAATGACCAGTGTGATGAGCATTTTTTCATATGTTTGTTGGCCTCCTGTGTGTCTCTTTTGTAACGTGTCTGTTCATATCCTTTGCCCACTTTATTGAATTGGGCTTGTTTGTTTTTTTTTCTTGTAGATCTGTTTTAGTTCTTTGTAAATTCTGGATATCAGCCCTTGTCAGATGGGTAGACTGAAAAATTTTTTCCCATTCTGTTGCTTGCCAATTCACTCGAATGACTGTTTCTTTTGCCATGCAGAAGCTGTGGAGTTTGATTAGGTCCCATTTGGCTATTTTGGCTTCTGTTGCCAATGCTTTGGTGTTTTGATCAGAAGTCCATGCCTATGCCTATGGTCCTGAATGGTTTTGCCTAGATTTTCTCTAAGGGTATTTTATGGTGTTAGGTCTTGTGTTTAAGTCTAATTAATCCATCTGGAGTTAATTTTACTGTAAGGTGTCAGGAAGGGGTCCAGTTTCTGCTTTCTGCATATGGCTAGCCAGTTTTACCAACACAGTTTATTAACAGGAATCCTTTCCCCATTGCTTCTTTTTGTCAGGTTTGTCAAAGATCGGATGGTTGTAGATATGTTGTGTTTCCTCTGAGGCCTCTGTTCTGTTCCATTGGTCTATATCTCTGTTTTGGTACCAGTACCCATGCTGTTTTGATTACTGTAGCCTTGTAGTATAGTTTGAAGTCCAGTAGTATGATGCCTCCTGCTTTTTTCTTTGTGCTTAGAATTGACTTGGCTATGCGGGCCGCTCTTTGGTTCCATATGAAGTTTAAGGTGTTTTTTTTCCAGTTCTGTAAAGAAGGGTCATTGGTAGCTTGATGGGAATAGCATTGAATTTGTAAATTACTTGGGCAAGTATGGCCATTTTCACGATGTTGATTCTTCCTAACCATGAACATGGGATGTTTCTCCATCTATTTGTGTCCTCTCTATATCGTTGAGCAGTGGCTTGTAGTTCTCCTTGAAGAGGTCCTTTACGTTCCTTGTTAGTTATATTCCTAGGTATTTATTCTCTTTGTAGCAATTGTGAATGGCAGTTAGTTCTTGACTTGGCTCTCTTTAAATCTGTTACTGATATATAGGAATGCTTGTGCATTTTTGCATGTTGATTTTGTATCCTGAGACTTTGGCTGAAGCTGGTTATCAGTTTCAGGAGATTTGGGCTAAGCGATGGGGTCTTCTAGATATACCAATCATGTCATCTGTAAATAGAGACAATTTGATTTTCTTCTTTCCTATTTGAATACCCTTTATTTCTTTTTCTTGCCTGATTGCTCTGGCTAGAAATTCCAGTATTATATTCAATAGGAGTGGTGAGAGAGGGCATCCTTGTGTAGTGCTAGACTTCAAAGGGAATGCTTCCAGCTTTTGTTCATTCAGTATGATATTGGCTGTTGGTTTGTCGTAAATAGCTTTTATTACTTTGAGATACATTCCGTCAATACCGAGTTTATTGAGGGTTTTTGGCATAAAGGGTTGTTGAATTTCGTCAAAGGCCTTCTCTGCGTCAGTTGAGATAATCATGTGGTTTTTGTTTTTGTTTTGGTTCTGTTTATGTGGTGAATTACGTTTATGGACTTGTGAATGTTGAACCAGCCTTGCATCCCTGGGATGAATCCTACTTGATCATGGTGGATAAGCTTTTTGATGTGCTGGTGCAATCAGCTTGCCAGTATTTTATTGAAGATTTTTGCATCTATGTTCATCATGAATATTGGCCTGAAGTTTTCTTTCCTTGTTGAGTCTCTGCCGGGTTTTGGCATCAGGATGATGTTTGTCTCATAAAATAATTTTGGAAGGATTCCCTCTTTTTGGATTATCTGGAATAGTTTCAGAAGGAATGGTACCAGCTCCTCTTTGTATGTCTAGTAGAATTCAGCTGTGAACCCATCTGGGCTTTTTTTGGGTTGTAGGCTTAATTGCTGCCTCAACTTCAGATCTTGTCAATTTTAGACCTCTCCTTTCTTCTCATGTGGGCACTCATTGCTATATATTTTCCTCTAGAGACTGCTTTGAATGTGTCCCAGAGATTCTGGTATGTTGTGTCTTCGTTCTCATTGGTTTTGAAGAACATCTTTATTTCTGCCTTCATTTCATTGTTTATTCAGTCAACATTCAAGAGCAAGTTGTTCAGTTTGCATGAAGCTGTGCGGTTCTGAGTTAGTTTCTGCATTCTGAGTTCTAACTGAATTGCACTGTGGTCTGAGAGACTGTTTGTTATGATTTCCGTTCTTTTGCATTTGCTGAGGAGTGATTTATTGCCAATTATATGGTCAATTTTAGAGTAGGTGTGATGTGGTGCTGAGAAGACTGTATATTCTGTGCATTGGGGATGGAGAGTTCTGTAAATGTCTATTAGGTTTGCTTGTTCCAGGTCTGAGTTCAGGTCCTGGATATCCTTGTTAATTTTCTGTATGGTTGATCTGTCTAATATTGACAATGGGGTGTTAAAGTCTCCCACTATTATTGTGTGAGAGACTAAGTCTCTTAGTAAGTCATTAAGAACTTGCCTTATGTATCTGGGTGCTCCTGTATTGGGTGTGTATATATTTAGTATCGTTAGCTCTTCTTGTTGCAGTGATCCTTTTACCATTATGTAGTGTCCTTGTTTGTCTCTTTTGATCTCTGTTGCTTTAAAGTCTATTTTATCAGAGATGAGAATTTCAACTCCTGCTTTTTTTTGCTCTCCATTTGCTTGGTAGATCTTCCTCCATCCCTTTATTTTGAGCCTTTGTGTATCCTTGCATGTAAGATGGGTTTCCTGGATACAGCACACTGATGCGTTTTGTCTTTTTATCCAATTTGCCAGTCTTTGTCTTTTGATTGAGGCATTTAGTCCATTTACATTTAGGGATAGTATTGTTATGTGTGAATTTGATACTGTCGTTTTGATGCTACCTGGCTGTTTTGTTGGTTAGTTGATGCACATTCTTGATTGTGTTGATGCTCATTACCATTTGGTATGTTTTTGGAGTGGCTGGTATTGGTTGTTCCTTTACATGTGTAGAGCCTCTTTCAGGAGTTCTTGTAGAGCAGGTTTGATGGTAATGAAATCTCTGAGTACTTGCTTGTTTGCAAAGGATTTTATTTTTCCTTCACTTATGAAGCTTAGTTTGGCTGGATAGGAGATTCTGGGTTGAAAGTTCTTTTCTTTAAGGATGTTGAATATTGGCCCCCAATCTCTTCTGGCTTGTAGGGTTTCTGCTGAGAGATCTGCTGTGAGTCTAATGGGCTTCCCTTTGTGGGTAACCCGACCTTTCTCTCTGGCTGCCCTTAGCATTTTCTCTTTCATTTCAACCCTGGTGAATCTGACGATTATGTGCCTTGGGGTTGCTCTTCTTGAGGAATATCTTTGTGGTGTTCTCTGTATTTCCTGGACTTGAATATTGGCCTGCCTTGCTAGGTTGGGAAAGTTTTCCTGGATAGTATCCTGAAGAGTATTTTCCCGCTTGTTTTCATTCTCTTCGTCACATTCAGGTACACCTATCAAACGTAGATTAGGTCTTTTCACATAGTCCCACATTGCTTGAAGATTTTGTTCATTCCTTTTTGCCCTTTTTTCTCTGTTCTTGCCGTCTCCTTTTATTTCATTGAGTTGATCTTCGACCCCTGATATCCTTTCTTCTGCTTGGTCAATGAGGCTGTTGAAACTTGTGCATGCTTCGTGAAGTTCTCGTGTTGTGTTTTTCAGCTCTATCAATTCACTTATATTCCTCTCTATGTTGTCCATTCTCGTTAGCATGTTGTCCATTCTCGTTAGCATTTCTTCCAATCTTTTTTCAAGGTTCTTAGTTTCTTTGCATTGGGTTAGAACATGTTCTTTTAGCTCACTGTAGTTTCTTACTACCCACCTTCTGAAGTCTGATTCTCTCATTTCATCACACTCCTTCCCATCCCGTCTTGTTCCTTTGCTGGTGAAGAGTTGTGATCCCTTTTAGGAGGAGAGGTGTTCTGGTTTCGGGAGTTTTTATCCTTTTTGCGCTGGTTTCTTCCCATCTTTATGGGTTTATCCACCTGTTGTCTTTGTTGTTACTGTCTTTCAGATTGGGTCTCTGAGTGAGCTTCCAGTTTGTGGATGCTGAAGTTACTTCTTTTTTTTTTTTTTTTAAGCTTTCCTTCTAACAGTCTGGCCCCTCTGCTGTAGGACTGCTGAGGTCCACTCCAGGCCCTGCTTGCCTAGGGATCACATGCAGCAGCTGCAGAACAGTAAGGGTTACTACCAGTTTCCTCTTCTGCTATCTTTGTCCCAGAAGGATGTTCACCAAATGTCAGTCCGTTCTCTCCTTTATGAGGTCTTTTTGGATCTATAGGGGTCAGGGAGCTGCTTGAGGAGACAGTCTGTCTTTTATTGGCACTCAAGTCCTGAGCTATGTGCTCCGTTGTTGACTCAGAGCTGCTGGGCAGGTACCTTTAGGTCTGCAGCTGAACTCATTAACCGCTTTTTGTTCCCAGGTGCTTTGTCCTGGGGAGTTAGGGCTTTATGAGTTTCCGTTGTGCTGCTGTCGTTTTCCGTTTTTCTTTCTGGGCTGCCCCACCCAGCTAACAGCCCATCTAGTCACTGTCTGCCTACAGAGGTTTTGCTGAGCTGCTGTGGGTTCCGCCCAGCTGCCGTGTGATCTTCCCTGCAGTCCTGTTTATATGGGCATAGTTAGAACTGCCTTGGCAATGGGGGCCCCACCTCTGTTATGGTGGACTCTCTCTGTTGTGGCAGGTTGCCTCGACAACGGCCTGCCTCCGTAATGGTGGAGTCTCAGTAATGGCGGATGCCCCTACCCCACAGAGCCGGACCATCCCGGGTTCAGCTGTGCTTGTTGTGAAACGCTCAGCCCACAGAATTTTCAATAACTTTTTGTTGTGGTTGTTGTTGTTGGGGGCTGGGTGGTGGGACCAACTGAGCCTGATCACCTGGCTCCCTCAGAGTCTTTTTTTTTTTTTTTTCTTTTTTTTTTTAAGTTGAGCGACCCAGCATTCCAGTCGCCTGTTGAAAAGGCCCTGGGATCTCCCATGCCACGACTCACTGAGCTGGCTTGCTATTTCAGATGAATGGGCAACTCTGCCGTCTCAGGGCTCCAATCGCCAGCTAAGAGGGCTGCCAGACCAGTGGCTTTTTTACGGAGAACCACTGCAACAGGGCATGGTCAAAGCAGCCACACGGGCCCAATCAGCCCCGAGGGGGCCAAAACAGACACACCGGCCAGAACAGCAGCACTGGCGACCCCTTTGCCTGGGTATCTCCTGGTCTGTGGGCGATAAAAATTTGTCTGGAAATGCAGCATTCACTCACCCTCTGCACTTTCACTGGGAGCTGAGGTCCTGAGCTGCTCTTAGTTGGCCATCTTCCCAGCAGTCTCCCCTTTTTAATTTTTTTACTGAACAATGTTGTTCTAATATTTTGTATACATTGTAATGTTTGATTGAGATGTAGACATTAGCGTAAAACTACCTTTCACAATCTTTGTAATGCAGCTCTTTTCTGACATAGCTTAAAACCAATTGTCTTGGCTAGAGATTCTGGGAGTCTCTCAAACATTGTTCTCAGGATGTGTCCTGTGTGCAATTCGGTATTTACTTTTTCAGTTAAAAGACCTCACCGTGTTTCTTCTTTCCAGTCGGTAACTACTTTCTACACCTGTTTAATGTCCATGCTGCTGCAGTCTTTCTGCTGCTGTAACATTCACTTTTGATCTCAAAAGACTTAAAGTTGTCATTTCAAAGTATACCACCATTTCATTCGGCATGTTCTGTCCTGGAAGATAGGCCCCCAAAAGCCAAAAGTAAAGACATAGTTGCCAGTATTTTTCTTGTCTCTTGAGATAGAAGCCAGAAGTTGACAGTTTACTCCTAAAGACACCATGTTCTTCTACTGGGGCTGAGAAAGGGCTGTGTTGGGAAATGTAGCAGACTTTTCTTTCTACAGGGCTCTTGGCATTGTGCTTAGCTGGTGCACACACTTTATTTATAAATTTCCAACAAAGATATTTTCATCACTGTTTTTGTTACATTTATACATCTATAAAGAAATTACAGCCTGTGGTATTTTAATATGCCATTTTGCTAATGTACCTGGTATAATTTTATGTATGATTTTTAAAGTATATCTGAGTCTATTAAGTGGAGTCAGTTGCAATTTTTATGTCTTTCAGTTACGTATTCATATTTTACCCAAGACCTTCAGCCAGATAAAGGCATAAGAGATTCACTCCAAAAAGTAATACCAAGAAGATACGGAAAAAGTAGTACCAAGAAGATACATGGACATGAGAATTTACAATTTAAAAAATACAATGAAAGTGTGGGTGACTGTGAGGTGCACAAAAGAAGTTATAATGAAGTTAACCAATGTTTGTCAACTACATATAACAAAATATTTCAGACTCATAAATGTGTCGAAATCTTTGGTAAATTTTCAAATTCCAATAGACATAAGACAAGACATACTGAAAGGAAACATTTCAAATGTAAAAACTATGGCCAGTCATTTTGCATGCTTTCGCACCTAAATCAACATCAGATAATTCATACTAGAGAGAATGCCTACAAATGTGAAGAATGCAGGAAATCATTTAACTGCTTCTCAACCCTTACTAAACATAAAAGAATTCATACTGGAGAGAAACCCTGCAGATGTGAGGAATGTGGCAAAGCTTTTAGCTGGTCCTCAACCCTTGCTAAACATAAAAGAATTCATACTGGAGAGAAACACTACACATGTGAAGAATGTGGCAAAGCCTTTAGCTGCTCCACAATCCTTACTGACCACAAGAGAGTTCATACTGGAGAGAGACCCCACACATGTGAAGAATGTGGCAAAGCCTTTAGCCGGTCCTCAAACCTTGCTAACCACAGGAGAGTTCATACTGGAGAGAGACCCTACACATGCAAAGAATGTGGCAAAACCTTTAGCTGGTCCTCAGACTTCACTTATCACAAGAGAATTCATACTGGAGAGAGACCCTACACATGTGAAGAATGTGGCAAAGCCTTTATCCATTCCTCAAACCTTGCTAACCACAAGAGAGTTCATACTGGAGAGAGACCCTACAGATGTGAAGAATGTGGCAAAGCCTTTAGCTTATCCTCAAACCTCACTTACCACAAGAGAATTCATACTGGAGAGAGACCCTACACATGTGAAGAATGTGGCAAAGCTTTTAGCCGGTCCTCAATCCTTGCTAACCACAGGAGAGTTCATACTGGAGAGCGACCCTACACATGTGAAGAATGTGGCAAAGCCTTTAGCCGGTCTTCAATCCTTGCTAACCATGGGAGAGTTCATACTGGAGAGAGACCCTACACATGTGAAGAATGTGGCAAAGCCTTTAGCTGGTCCTCAAACCTCACTTACCACAAGAGAATTCATACTGGAGAGAGACCCTATACATGTGAAGAATGTGGCAAAGCCTTTAGCCATTCCTCAAACCTTGCTACCCACAAGAGAGTTCATACTGGAAAACCCTACAAATGTGAAGAATGTTACAAAGCTTTTAAGTGGCCCTCAGGTCTTGCTAATCATAAGATAATTCATACTGGAGAGAAACCCAGTGAATGATGTGCAAAGTCCAACTCTCGGGCCCTATAATAAAATAATTTACACTGGAAAAAATCATTACAAGTGTGGAGAATATGGGCAAGCCTTTAATCAGTTCCAAACCTTTATTGTACATAAGAGAATTCAGCTTTGACAAAAATCATATAAATATTTTTAAAAGGTAACAAAGCCTTTAATCAGCTCTCAAACTTTAAGGACTCTAAGAGAATTTATTTTTGAAAAAATTATTTTAAATGGAGTCTCACTTTGTCACCCAGGCTGGAGTGCAGTGGCACAATCTCAGCTCACTGCAACTTCTGTCTCACAGGTTAAAGCAATACTCCTGCCTCAGCCTCCTGAGTAGCGGGGATATCGGGCATGTGCCACCACACTGGCTGATTTGCACATTTTTAGTAGCAAAATACAAAAATTGTGGGAAAAAATGTGGCAAAGAATTTAAATGGTTCTCCATCCTTATTAATTAAAAAATGTTTTACTGGAGAAAAATGACATACATAAAAAATGTGATAGGGCATTTAAACACACCTCAAACTTCTCTGAAAAAGAGAAATACTGGGAGAGACTCTGGAAATGTGTCAGATGTGGCAAGGCCTTTAAATGGTAGTCACACATTATAGTAGGTAAGGTAATTTTTACTGAAGAAAACTACAAATATGAAGAATGTTGCAAAACTTTTAACAAATTGTCTCACCTTATTGCACAGAAAAGGATTTATACTAGAGAAACATTGTACAAATGCAAAGAATGTGAAAAGCCATTAATATCTGCTCACGTCTTAGTATCAGAAAGTTTGTGCTTAATAAAAGCACTATAGGCCAGGTGTTGTGGCTCACACCTGTAATCCCAGCACTTTGAGAGGCCAAGACAGGTTGATCACGAGGTCAGGAGTACAAGATGAGTCTGTTCAACATGGTAAAACCTCATCTCTACAAAAATACAAAAGTAAGTGGGTTGTGGTGGCATGCACCTGTAATCCCAGTTACCAGGGAGACTGAGGCAGGAGCATTGCTTGAATTTGGCAGGCAGAGGTTGCAGCAAGCCAAGATTGAGCCACTACATTGTAGCCTGGGTGACGGCAAAACTCCATCTCGGGGGAAAAAAAAGCATTAGAAATATTATTACTGTAAAATGAACTTTCAGAAAATGTAAGTCTTTAAAGACTGTTTACTCTAAAGACAAATATTACAAACAGGATTGTAGTGCCTTTACTTGTATTACAGATTTTCTTGTACGCATTTTATATTAAAGGAAAACCCCAAAGAAGATGGTCAAACTTTGTCAAACATCAGGGAATTTATACTTGAGAGAAAGCCTAAAAATGTAATGAATGTGAACAAACTGTAGTTAATTCAAAAACTACAGTTTAGAAGACACCCATTAATATATTTCTGCAGTTGCAGTAAATGGGGAAAATAAATTTAATCAAAGAATAGGTCTAAGTATACCTTTGAGGATTCACAGCAGAAAGAATGAAGACTGCAACTTCAGACATTACACTAAACCACTGTTGAGGATAAAAAGGACCCAAAGCTAACTATATATATTTAAAGAAGCAGATTTTTTTGGAGATTTATCATAACATTCAAGATACGTTTTTCTGTAAAAAAAAAAACTACAGATTTTCTAAAAAGCAAATAATACTGTAACAAGTTACTTAATGTTGATTCTTCCCGTTGTTTGTGTAAAAGTATTTGATTAATTATTGCACCAGAGATATGAGAGATTGTTTTTTATTAGGTGTCAATTCATGAACTTTTCTATGGAAGAATAAGGACATTAAGTTGTAAGATGCATACTGAAAACCTAAATGGAGAGGCTCTTTGTGGTTGACTTACAACATTGTTTTAGTGATGGATAAGGTGGTTGTTCAGAGTAGTATTCTGAATTCTAGTGAAAGGAAAAACTTTGAATATTAGTAGTACATTATTTTATCAATTGTACCTGTAGGTAATAAAATGCAATAAATTTAAACTTTTTTAAAGGTTATGTGTGAATTCAAGTTTTCATTAAAGTTGTTTTTAATGTGTTAAATCTATTGTGCTTTGAATGAACTGTTAATTTGCCATGAACTTTAATGTGTTCCATCTTACTTGAGGTTCTAAGTAAAAGATGGTAATGATACACTGTTTGTTAATGTAGGGGAATGACATCTCTAGTAAACTCTTTTTTTGGCCAGTGTTTTGTTTGTTTTGAGATGGAGTCTTGCTCTGTTACCCAGGCTGGAGTGCAGTGGCATGATCTCGGTTCACTGCAACCTCTACCTTCTGGGTCCAAGTGATTCTCCTACCTCAGCCTCCTAAGTAGCTGGGATTACAGGCATGTGCCACCATGCGGAGCTAATTTTTGTATTTTTAGTAGAAATGGAGTTTCACCACATTGTCCAGGCTGATCTCAAACTCCTGACTTCAGGTGATCCACCCACGTCAGAGTCCCAAAGTGCTGGGATTACGGGAGTGAGCCACCAGGCCTGGCCTGCCAGTGTTTTTAAATTGCAAGTAAGTTGAAGAATTTTGTTCCCATAGATCAAATTGTATACTTTTTTCCCTTAATTTTTTTTAATTTTTGTGGGTAAATAGTGTGCCTACACACTTGTGGCATATATGAGATATTTTAACAAGTATACAATATTTAATTATCACAGCTGAGTAAATGAGGTATTCATCATCTTGGGCATGTACTTTTATATTACAGAGAATCACATTATATACTTTAAATGTGCAAGTGAATTATTAGCAGCTGCAAGGTCATTTTTATGGTCATAAAAATTATATGGGTTTAATTAATGTCCATATATTTCTGAGTCTTGATTAAACATTTTTAAACACTTGTTTTATATATTTTTTGTACATGTGGCCTCTGCTGACAAAAACAGACTTTTAGTTTTGATTTACATAGAGTTACATATACAAATATATTACTCTAAAGAGATACCAGCTGGGCACAGTGGCTCATGCCTTCACTTTCAGAGGTGAAGGTGAGTGAATCATTTGAGGTCAAAGTTCAAAACCAGACTGGTCAACATGGTGAAACCCCCTCTCTACTAAAAATACAAAAAAAAAAAAAAAAAAAAAGAACTTGGTGTGGCGATGCATACCTGCAGTCGGAGCTACTCAGAAGGCTGAGGCAGGAGAATTGTTTGAGCCCAGGAGGTGAAGGTTGCAGTGAGCAGAGATGGTGCCACTGCACTTCAGCCTCAGTGATAGAGTGAGACACTGTCTCAAAATAAAAATATGTGTATATACATATATAACTTAAGTGTAAGAAAGTAATGTAGGAAGTGACAGTTTGAGTTTGTATGCATTTCAGAAGAACAATAATGAAAAAAAATCATTTTAATAAGGTGGATAATTAGAAACCTGAAAACCTCAGAGATTCAGAAAAAAATATATACTGTGCCCACTAAAAGCACAAAAATTGGCTGGGTGTGGTAGTGCATGCTTGTAATCCCAGCTACTTGGAAGGCTGAGGCAGGAGAATCTCTAGAACTTGGGAGGCAGAGGTTGTGGTGAGCTGAGATTGCACCATTGCACTCCATCCTGGGCAATGAGCAAAACTCTTGTCTCAAAGAAATAAAGGAAAAGAAAATGCATGTAATAACAAAAAAAATTATTCAACAAAACCCAAGAGAAGACAGCATTAGAAGTAAAAGGCACAAAAGTAATTGCAGTTTTTGCCATTAAAAGTAAGGTAAAAATTCTAAAGTGTAACACTAAATGGTCAGACAGTTCACAAAATGGCAGTAAGTTCTTTTTTTTTTTTTTTTTGAGACGGAGTTTCGCTCTTGTTACCCAGGCTGGAGTGCAATGGCGCGATCTCGGCTCACCGCAACCTCCGCCTCCTGGGTTCAGGCAATTCTCCTGCCTCAGCCTCCTGAGTAGCTGGGATTACAGGCACGCACCACCATGCCCAGCTATTTTTTTTGTATTTTTAGTAGAGACGGGGTTTCACCATGTTGACCAAGATGGTCTAGATCTCTTGACCTTGTGATCCACCCGCCTCGGCCTCCCAAAGTGCTGGGATTACAGGCTTGAGCCACCGCGCCCGGCCTGGCAGTAAGTTCTTACCTATCAATTTTTAAAATATCAAATAGTTTAATTAAAATACATTGCTATGTTTTGAATATCCCCTTCAAAATTTATGTTTCAATTTAACTGCCATTGTAATAAAATTGTAAATTTTGACCTTTAAGAAGATATTAGGTCATGCAGGACCTACTCTTATAAATGAATTAATGTCATTATTTCCAGAATGGGTTACTTAGCAGGAAAATGGGTCTATTATAAAAGTAAGCTCTGTGACACCAGGCATGGGGGCTCATGCTTGTAATACCAGCATTTTGGAAGGCCCAGGTGGTCAGATCACGAGGTCAGGAGATGGAGTCCAGCCTGGCTAACACAGTGAAACACTGTCTCTACTAAAAATACGAAGAATTAGCCTGGCATGGTGGCACGCACCTGTAGTCCCAGCTACTCTTAAGGCTGAGGCGGAGAATCGCTTGACCTTGGGAGGTGGAAGTTGCAGTGAGCGGAGATTGCACCGTTGCACTCCAGGTTGGCTGACAAAGCAAGACACCATCTCAAAAAAAAAAAAGCAGCTCTCTGGTGTACGCCTTTTGTCATCTTCATCTTCGTGCCTTTGGTCGTTTCGTGATGTGGAAATATGATTCTAATCAGAAGTCAATAACATGCTATTGGACTTCTACAATCTAAAATTGTGAGCTAAGTACACTTTTATTCATTATAAAAAACCAACTCTAGGATATTCTGTTATTAAAGCAGAAACTGAAATAAAAGATTCACAAAATGTCTAAATAGATTTTTTAAATTAAATATGCTTCACGCAAGTGATTTATCTTAGATTCAAGGGCACACATAGGCCTTTGCTAACACTCTAAAAAGTTTGTAATTTGTTGGTTTTCTTGTTAAATAACTTTTTGCTCATTTCAATATATATTACTGTATCTTTCTTTCTGCCTTCTATAAGACATAAGTATGTGTGAGGTTTTTCAGGTGTTTTTTTTAAACTTAGTTTTGTAATATAAAAAGAATTACTGGTTCTGCCCTCTTTCTTCACATGCTTGAAGGTTAAAAAAGAATCTGTGACTTAAATTACTTAAACTAGAGTTTAAGAATCTGTTTCTTTTGAATAAATGCCCTATGTCTTAATAGTGAATTGTACTGTTAGATCTTACAAAAATGAATGTGAAAGGGAATTTTCTGCATGATGGAAGCAAATTGCAAATTTAGATCTTTGTAATTTTTATTATTAATTTTCTCATTATAGAATTAACATAACATTGCAGTACCCTAGAACATAGATGAAAGGGAAAAATCATGCAGAATGATTATAGCCTGACATTAACAGTATTTGCATTTTTGTGTTTTCCAAGCCTGTATTTTCCTGTGGATGTTAAACCGTGGCTCTGACTATAATCCTTACGTATATGAATATTTCTATGCATATTTTATAAGGGGCTAATCTTAGTGTGCAAACAATTTTCTATTTTTTCTACAGTATTTTATAAGCTATATATATATATATATATATATATATATATATATATACACACACACACATATATAAAATTGTATAGGCTCACTAATATCATTTAGTGGCTTAATAATTTTCCATCTTGTGATGTCACACACATATACACATATACACACATACAATGCCATGTGATCGCTCAATACATTAGTGAATGAAATTTAATGACTTTATATAGTTATTGCAAATATCCCTTGACTGCTACTATTAGGTTGCCTTCCATTGTTTATCATGATGAGTTATGCTGAAATCATTATCTTTATGTACCTAAAACTTTTCATAATTTGGGTTAATTTCCTAGAAAAACTCAACCCGCGCGCACCCATCTCGGTCGTGGAGCGGCCTCCCGCGGTCTACTCCGTACATGGGCTCCGTGGCCTAGCGCCCCCGTCCCCGTCCCCGCCACCCATGATCGTGCGCCGAGGCCCGGAGGCGTCGCCGCCCAGGTCCCACCAGCCCGCAAACCAGAGCTTGGCGGCCATCCCCTCCAGCAGCTCGCTCGTGGCCACCCACGACTACTACCGGCGCCGCCTGGGTTCCACTTCCAGCAACAGCTCCTGCCGTAGTACCGAGTGCGCCGCGGAGGCCATTCCCCACCCCCCGGGTATCCCCAAGGCTGACCCGGGTCACTGGTGGGCCAGCTTCCTTTTCGGGAAGTCCACTCTCCTGTTCACTGCCACGGTGCTGGAGCCTGCAGAGCACCCGGAACCCCGAGGGCTCCCGCAGCGTGAACACCTGTGACCTGGCTCAGCACGCCCCGAGGAAGCAGCCTGGTGGTCAGCCCAGCACAGGCAGTGCTGGGCCGCCGTCCTGACCTGAGCGATGACCACCAGCTCCAGGACTGCGGAGGCGCTAGGCCACCAGAGCCGCTCCCAACCCCCGCCCCTCGCCACCGTAGATTAGGCGGCTGCAGCCAGCAGACCTCCACATCCACACAGCAGACACCAAAAAGGACTGAGGGCCCGGCTCTCCACCGCCGGGCCCTGAGCAGCTTTCCTGACACCTGAACTGTGCACCTGGCACCAAGCGGAAAATAAACTCCAAGCAGCCACACGCACGAAAAAAAAGAAAAAAGGAAAAAGAAAGACTCTAACAAATAGATTTACTCTATCATAGTTTGTAAGCATTTCACAATCCTTGATAAATTATGCTTTTCCAGGTAATTGTAATAATTTACATAAATACAAATGTCTAAGAGATTGCATCTTGACACAATTGGCACCATCACTAATTTTTCCAGTGCTAACGGTGTGTAAAAAAAAATGCCAACTAGTTTTAATTTGCATTTTTAATTTATAAGGATAATTGTTTTATACATTTACTTAATAATTTGTTCCTAAATTTTATATAAAATTTCAAATGGCTTCATTTTGGGGCTCAGATACACATGTATTTTTATATGGTTATATACAAATGATACACACATAATTTGCCTATAGGGTTTTAAAAATCAAATTGCAAGGATTGTTGACATTGGAAAGATACTTAATTTTGCTAAGTTTGCCACAATACAAATTATTTGTTACTTTTTTAATACGTTTAATATTTTTACAGTCTTTAACTCAGGGTATTGTGTATGTGTGTTATTTATTTTATGGATCTTAAGTCTGAAAAACTCATTTCTCTGTATATTTTGGATAAATGTTTGATTTTATTTAATATCTTTTAAAAAATTTTTTTATATTTTTAAAATGTGACACAAGTAACCATGAAGCACATATAATATGCACAATTTAATATTTATAAGGTGAACACCTCTGTTTAACCACCAACTAATTCAATAAATCTAACATTTCCAGCATTCTAGAAGCTTTTTGCATATGGCTGTCTGATCACAATCCGTCTTTTCCCTCCTGGAGGTTCCCATAAACAATCCTGACTGGTGAAAATCATTTTCTTGCCTAAAAAAAAAAAAAATGATTTCTCTACTTAGGACTTAAATATTGAAGTGTAAGCTATTTAATTTTGTTCATGTTTACCCAAAGTATTGTACCATACTATATGCATTATTTTGTGTCATGCTTCCTTTGCTCACCTTTATGTGGTTAAGATTCACCCATGCATTGCATTTAACTGTAATAAGTTCATTTTCAGGCCGGGCGCGGTGGCTCAAGCCTGTAATCCCAGCACTTTGGGAGGCCGAGGCGGGTGGATCACGAGGTCGAGAGATCGAGACCATCCTGGTCAACATGGCGAAACCCCGTCTCTACTAAAAAAATACAAAAAACTGGCTGGGCGTGGTGGCGCGTGCCTGTAATCCCAGCTACTTAGGAGGCTGAGGCAGGAGAATTGCCTGAGCCCGGGAGGCAGAGGTTGCGGTGAGCCGAGATCGCGCCATTGCACTCCAGCCTGGGTAACAAGAGCGAAACTCCGTCTCAAAAAAAAAAAAAAAAAGTTCATTTTCTTTGCTACAGACTACTCATTTGGCACTTCCATGAACAAGTGCTATTACGAACAATTTTGTATGCGTATTTTGGTGCAAATGTGCAAGATCTGCTCCAGAATAAGTACTTAGGAGTAGAATTGCTGGCTGCAGTCTACTCGTATCTTAAACTTTATGTAACCAAACTTTTTTCCAAAATATGCATACTAAATTACACTCCCACCAGCAATACATGAGAATTCTCTTGCTCTACACTTCTCACCACTTAATATTGTGAGAACTTTACTTTTCTTGGCATGGTGGTTTTGAAATAGTAAGTCAGTGTGATTTCAATTTGGAGTTTTCTAATCATTAATGAAATTGACCATATATTCATGTTTTTTGGCCATTTATATTTCCTCATTTGTGAAGTGTATGTGCAGTACTTCTACCTATTTTCAATGGAGAGATACGGTTTTCTCATTGATTTAGAGAAATTTTATATTCGAGACACTAGTTGCTTTTCTAATTTAAAATAATAAATCGTCATAATTTTAATAAATTTGAACTTTTGTGTTGTTTTAAAAAATTATTTCCTACACTGATATCATGAAAGTTTCCATTATTGTGACTCTAAGTGCTTTCAGGTTTTATTTTCTCATATTTAGGCTTATAATTTACCTGGAATTGCTTTTAAGTATAGTATGACATAGTAGTCCAATTTCATTTTATTTATGAATAACTTCTATTTTTTAGTTTTGTTTTTTCCTTCTGTTTGGAATTGGAACCTACATGCTTTGTTTCTATTCCTTTAGTAGTTGCACAAAACATTCCAACATACATACCTAATTTATCACAAACTGAAGTTAATGGTACAGGCTAAGCAGCCCTCATCCAAAAATTAGAAATCCAAAATACTCCCTTTGCATGTCACATTGGTGCTCAAAATGTTTTGGATTTTTGGATTAGGGACATTCAGTATACATCTTTATTCTTCTCTTGGACATTACTAAGACTGCTGATGACTTGAAGTTCATTTCTCCTCTCGTCCAAACTTGTATGTTATTATAGTCATGTATTTTAATTCTACTTTATACACATACACACACACACACACACACACACACACACACACACACACACACACACATTTTTGAGACAGAGTCTTGTTCTGTCACCAGGCTGGAGTGCAGTGGTGCAATCTCGGCTCACTGCAACTTCCACCTCCTGAGTTCAAGCAATTCTTCTGCCTCAGCCTCCCAAGTAGCTGGGACCACAGGTGCGTGCCACCATGCCCGGCTAATCTACTTTATATTTTAAAGCCAACTATATAGCCTTATCATGGTTTAATGCAGCTAATATTTATTCAGATTTGCCAATGTACCTGCCACCTTTTCTTTTTGTTCACTTGCAAATCAGACCTTCCATCCAAGATCACTTTTTCTTTTTTCCTTTTTGTCTTTTCTCCTCAAATACCTTTACCACAAGATCACTTTCTACTGAAAAATACCTTCAGATTACATGTAATGAGGGTCTCTGAGCTTTTATTTTTCTAAAATTTATTTTGCCTTTATCCTTAAAAGATACTTTCAGTAGGAGTAAAGTTCTAGCTTGGTAGTTACTTTCTTCACACATTGTTAAGTATATCAAACAAATGTCTTTTGGCTTCCATGATGGCTCTTGATAAGGGAGCTTGCAGTCTGTCATTCATCTGAATGCAAGCTGTTCATTCTGTTTACTTGCTTTAAGTTGGTCTGTGTGCTTGGCATGCTGCAGTTTCTATGGCTTGGCTAGTGTGGATTCTTTCTTCTTTAATTTACCCTATTTGTGATTCACTGAAATTCCTGAATCTGAAGATAAGTGTCTTTCATCAATTCTGGTAAACTTTGAGATATTATCTCACCAAATATTGATTATGCTTCAGTCTCTCTTTTTCTAGGAATTCTGATTAGATATATTTTAAATCTTTTCAATCTATCCTTCAAGTCATTTCTCTTTCATATTTCTTTTTTTTTTTTTGCCAATTGGTGTTACATTCTGAATATTTTCTTCTCTATTTTTCAGTTTACTAATTCTCTCTTCAGATGTATCTAATCTCCCATGTGGGATGGTGTGGTGGTGTATATTTCAACTGATTCACTTGTTTGCTTGCTTTGAAAATTCTATTTGGCTTTCAAACCTGCTGGATTGTTTTAAATATTTTCTATGGTCTACAAATTTTAAAATTTGCCTTTTACTTTTTTTTTTTTTTGAGACGGAGTTTCACTCTTGTTACCCAGGCTGGAGTGCAATGGCGCGATCTCAGCTCACCGCAACCTCCGCCTCCTGGGTTCAGGCAATTCTCCTGCCTCAGACTCCTGAGCAGCTGGGATTACAGGCACATGCCACCATGCCCAGCTAATTTTTTGTATTTTTAGTAGAGACGGGGTTTCACCATGTTGACCAGGGTGGTCTCTAGCTCTTGACATTGTGATCCGCCCGCCTCGGCCTCCCAAACTGCTGGGATTACAGGCCTGAGCCACCACGCCCGGCCTACTTCTTAAAGAATAAGTATGGTTGTTTTAAAATCTGTGTCTGATACCTCCAACATCTGAAGTAGTTACAGACTTGTTCTCCTGGTTCCTTATTTCCATGTGTAGGTTCAAGAATTTTTTATAGTAAGCTCTGCATTTCCCTAAAAAAGTTGGTTTGGGAAACACTTGGATAAGGGAATCTTCTAGAGAGAATTCATGTTTATTTCTGCCATCAGGTGTTTCCAGTTGAAAATGATTAAGATGTGAAAGTTAAGAACTTGCCGGGTGCGGTGGCTCAAGCCTGTAATCCCAGCATTTTGGGAGGCCGAGGCGGGTGGATCATGAGGTCAAGAGATGGAGACCATCCTGGTCAACATGGTGAAACCCCGTCTCTACTAAAAATACAAAAAATTAGCTGGACATGGTGGCGCGTGCCTGTAATCCCAGCTACTCAGGAGGCTGAGGCAGGAGAATTGCCTGAACCCAGAAGGCAGAGGTTGCGGTGAGCCGAGATCGCGCCATTGCACTCCAGCCTGGGTAACGAGCGAAACTCTGTCTCAAAAAAAAAAAAACAAAGAAAGTTAAGAACTTGCAGTCTGGGCTGCGAGTGGTGGCTCACCCCTGTAATACCAGCACTTTGAGAGGCTGAGGTAGGCAGAGCACGAGGTCAAGAGATTGAGACCATCCTGGACAACTTAGTGAAACCCATCTCTACTAAAAATGCAAAAATTAGCTGTGCATGGTGGCATGTGCCTATGATCCTAGTCACTTGGGAGGCTGAATCAAGAAAATCACTTGAACCTAGGAGACAGAGGTCGCAGTGAGCAGACATCACACCACTGCACTCCAGCCTGGCAACAGAGTGAGTGGACTCTGTCTCAAACAAACAAACAAACAAAAAACAGAAAACAAACACAAACTTACTGTCTGTACTAATAAGACATATAGAAAATGACTATCCAGGCAAACCGCTAGTAGAAAGTTTATATCTTT